AGTATCAGAAAGTCTCATAAAGCACTCGACGATCTAAGAAAGTCTGAAGACCTTCAATCCTGCTGTTTTTAGCCAAAAAATGATGTTTATGGCACTTTTTAGGTACTTTTCAATTTTTATCCCATTATTTAGAGTTTTTTTGTAACATTACATATTTTCCATGGTTTTTATGAAAAAATTAATGTTTCCAATTAGGTCCAAAACGATAGGGGGTTATGTCTAGGTTTTAAAACTATAAGTAGGTATTGTGACAAAAGGTCAAACCATAAGGGGTAATTTAAAATTTGCCCTTATCGAGGGTGCAATTTAAAATAATTATCTTTGAAAGTATAAATTAAATTTTTTTTTAATCTTTTGGGTTTGCTTTGGATTAAATGATGAAATAATGACATAACGCGCAAAATTTGAATTTTAAATTGTAGGAATTCATGCGGAATACCTGGAAGGATTAAACCCGAATCTTTTGGATTGATTGACTTGTTTTAGGAGCTTCGTACAAATCACGACCCCTGATTCAGTGTGGATGACACTAACATACCAAAAAATCTTCAATTGTTATGAATAACCTTCCTCAAATTTTGTAACGCCCCAAATTTCACAAAAGCGTGATTAAAAAAAATTAATTTGTTTATTCCAAAAACACATTTCTGGTCTATTGTAAAAACATCTAGAAAGGTATCTCTTTAATTTAAATAAATCATTTTTTTTAGAAAATTTTGGCAAAGTTTCCTTTGAAAATCGGGCATCCAGATAATTGGTAAGAGCAACCTGTGCGAGCATTAAACATAATAATTATACCTAACTAGTCATTTGCGTCATATCAATCATATACATCCCTTCCCATGATATCTACAAATAAGTCATTACTGTTCAATACCGGGGTGGCAAATGGGGGCCCATGAAGTCCTCTCAAACTCGAGTTATAATCTAATTATCCAAAATTATTTATCATGAACATAATATACAGAATATCTAAAATCTTTATAAGTAAAACATTTAAAAGGTCACACTTTATACATATTCCGTCAAATTAACCAAGATATATATCACTTACAAATCTTTAATAATATACATTATCGTATATTGTTTTTTTTTTTTTTTTGATACTTAAAGAAAGGGATGGGGGCAAGGAAGAGTGCCCAACAACCACCCCGATAGGCCATCACCGGTGGGATCATAAAGCCCTTGACCGTGCCTGGAACATCTCTCGGGATCAGACCTACCTAGGCTAGCATAGCGGCCAACCACCAAGCCCCAATGAGAATTCCAAGACTCGAACTCTCAACCTCAAGGTGAGGAGTATGGCCGGTATCCCACTAGACCACCCTACTTGGTGGTTTGTATATTGTTCTTTACATACTCTAACTAATATATAAAAATCATAACAACTATCTTCTGCCTCGATACTCCCACTATGCAGTCCNAAAGTAATGTACTTGACATAGAGCCTGATACAAAAGTGATGGTCAAGGTGGGTTGTATAGTTTCATGGGAATCCATAATGTAAAACATATCCTATCCTTAAAGTCTAGTTGCTCGATCATTCCACGTGAAAGGGAATTAGGTACATGTTTATGATGGTGTTTTAAAGTCTAGTTGCTCCATCATTCCACATGAAAGGGAATTAGTTACATGTTTATGATGGTGTTTACTGCACAAATGAATAGAACTTAGGGATCAATAGGTCACTGAATGGTCCAATCAGAGCTCCTAGGCTCTTAAGAATTGAATAAAGGGGAATGGAAGTTTGCACACAAAGAGTTTATAGTGGTTCACTAGCTTGAGAGCTTGGTTAATTCATTCTAAATGGATTCTATTGCTCCTGAAGATATTATTGATGAAGGGGAAGGTTACACAAGTTATCTATTTAGGCTAAGGTTGCTTCTTTTTTGATGTGAGGGATATGCCTAGTATTTATATTCTTCAGAGGCCTTACATGATCTTGGGTGTGATCTTTGCCCTTTCCTTGTAACGGTTGCACCTGTCACGTGACCAGTATGGATACTGATGAGCTAGTTACGACTTCTCTGCCCAGATGTATGGCCGTTATGTTACATATAGTGTTTAGGTGGAAGTCAACTGTCTTCGAGGTTATTCCAGTGGCGGTGTAGTTGCTGGGGACAAGGTATCGACCTCAGGTTCTCAAAATAAACTAAGATGGGCTGAGTTGCCTGAGCGAGGAAGGACCAAGCTGAATACCCGAGCTCAACCTTAGGCATATTTAAAGTATTATCAGTTGCCCCCTAGTCCCTAGTTAGGTAAGTTGCATGAGTTTTGACTCACCACTGACCTGGCTGAGTGAGGTTAGCTTGGTTCGACCTCGAGTTATGCACGAAGGGATATCTTTTGACTGTTACGGCATTGCAAACGTGCAATCCCCTAGTTCTATGTGTCCATTCATACGCTTTCCTTAAATACATCTGTAGGCAAAATCGTCTTTCTCATTAATTTGAATTCTCTTTGCCTTTTTTCTTCAGTTTTCCTTCTTTTCTTCTTCCTTGAGATTTCATCTTCTTCAACCTCCTAGTGACTTAGGGTTTTATTGGTAAAAGCCCAAATTTGCTCTGGAGCATCTGCGATGCTAGCTCAATTATATCCTTGAATCTACCTCAGGTCTTTGATCGTTGATTGTCTTTGACTATATACGTCCTCTGCCTTGTTTCTTACCTCCTTCTAGGGTTTCTTTCCACTCTGGATCCCTCGAACTCAAGGTGGTTGCTCCATTTTCGGACTTTTCATTTCTGTTACTTTAGGAGTCGAGTTCGTTCCTTGTCTTTCCTTCCTCTCTTCTAAGATCCTTATTCTACTGCTAAGATATTCTTTTTTGGTCGTTGGAGCGTAGATCCCAGGGCTCTTGAAAACTGTTTTCAAACGTCCCTTCCCTTTACACCTCCTTCAATCTTCTTTTCTCACATACCTCAATGTTCATTTCGTCTAAAGCTACTGCTTAATCTGTATCCTTGGCCATTGGCGACAGGTCTCTTGAGCTAGATGACGATAACCTGGGGGATGTGGGTGACTAGATAGATAACTTCTAGACGTTGACCCTGTTGATGCTGAGGAGAAGACAGAAGTCCCCCTGCCTCTACTAGGGCCTGCTCCAACGTATAAGAAATCCAGGAGAGGGAAATCTAAGAAAGGCGGGACTGGGACTTCAGATATTATGGGTTTTAGCGAGGTCACTCCCCCTTTTATGAGCGTTCTTTCTGCCAGATTTGGCTTTCCTAGAGGTATGCACCATAGGTGTCCCTAAGTAGATATTAGGTATGATACTAAGGTGCTTGAGAATACCTACTTCTTTGTTACCTCCCTTGATAATGGCCTTAGGTTCCCTATGCACCCTTTCTTCAAGTCTATCCTTCAATACTTCAATGTCTGCCCAGCCCAACTGTAACTTTTGGGGCATTTTGGTGGGTCTCCTTATTTTCTTTAAGAAGAAAAGCCTGGCACCCCTACGGTTCCCTTGCTCATGAAGTATTTCAACATTAAGTTCTCCCCTATTGATGGCTTCCTATATATTGCAAAATGGGTGAAGGCCCCAACCTTAAATACTGACCTCCCAAGCTCCCACAAAGGTTGAAAAAAACTATTTTTCTTTATATCAGGCCAAGAATGGGAGTTTGACTTGAGCGATGTTACTGACAACCTTCCTATACCTCGGTCCTAGGCAGGTCCTGACAACCTGGGTAGGTCCTCGTTTGAGGAGGCTTAGCTTGACACTTTCACTTTTGCGTTTCACCTACTGATCTTGTCTCTTTAGATAGTTTTAGGTATTCGACCCAACCTCGGAGTGGACGATAGGCTAGCTCTTCTAGGTCTTGAGGATTGCCATCCGGAGAAGTATTTGAAAATGATCAAGCCTTTGGTGTTCACCTAGCTCAATTTTATTCTTCCCAATGTGGGAGTTGAGACTCCCATCCTGATAGTAGTGTTTAGTGTAGAAGGTTATGTCGGTCTGACTCTCCTCTCTTGCCCCTAGCTTTACCCTTTTCTTCTTACTAATTTTACTGGCTTGTTCACTTCGTTTTCTTAGGTTCCAACTCAATGGCTCCAGATGCTAAAACAGTAAGGGCTACGGTGGCCCAATTTAGGAAGGGTAGGACGAAGGAAAATGCAAGGCTGAGGTCGGATCCAAAAATGACCTGGGTTATTCTCAAAAAATACCAAGAGTGGGCCCGTCTTTGCCCCCACCTTCTTAGACGACTCCCTACCTCCATCGGCTCTCCAAAAAACTCCCCATTGGTGAAGACTATGAAGATCTCCTCTTCTCAAGGGATTCTTCTTCCCTAGAAGACTTCGGTGGTACCTCCTCCTACCCTCATGGGGCCTGCCAGACATGCTAGGGTCCTGTCCAAAAAAGAGTACTGTCCAAAAAAATAAAGTTTAATATAATTTCATTTGATGTCATAACTCGTAACTTGACCGAAAAAATTATAGGTTTTTGTATGCTTCTTCCTTCAGTACCATAACTTTACCTAGTCTTAAAACATGAAAGAAGGAATTGCCAACTATGATGTGAGATGGGGAGAGAGAAAGTGATAGAGACTCCTTCAGAGAAAAATACATAAATTAAAAAAGCTACAAGAAATTATTCAAAAGTAGGAACCAAGTTTTATGATGGAGCTTGTTATTACATAAATAATCAATTTTTTTTTTGGGGGATTAAAAAGTAAGATAACACTATGGTACCAAAAAATAATTCTCTACAGTAGATTGATATTCATTTAAATTATTTAGAGTCATTCATCTTTGAAATAATAAAATAACAAAAAATTTCTACTTGTCATCATATGATTAGATTAAGAATGAATGTACCAAAAAAATTATTTTTCGATACCAAAGTGTAACCCTAGAAGTATGTAGGGTGTAATGGTTTACCTGCAAAGAATCATCAACATTGATGAAAAGGGAGCTCTAATAAGCTGAACTGAAACCCATGTCCCATCTCTTAGACAGATTTGCAAGCCTAATGTATTGTTAGATCTTAGAGCATATAGTATCTATGGGTTTTTATGCTCTCCAAACCCAATCAAACTTTGATCACTGAATGCTTGATGCGCTGGAGATGGAGGATAGTGGTTTAAACTGAATGCTTGATGCTCTAGACATGGAGGATAGTGGTTTAACCTGAAACAAGAGTCACTATTCTGGTCTTTCAAGAGCCTACTCGACACATTCCTTTGCCTAATCTTCAAGCCATCAACTATCATTTCCAAAACTCCACAAAGCCTATTTCTCACTGCTGATACATAGTCATTCACAAGAGTCCTACATGCACAATTCAGAGAAGAAGAAAAAATTTCACAATCTATTTTGATGCTACATTGAAATTTACAATGTTTTTTGGTTAAATTATCGTAAATGTTAGGATCAAACGCAAACAATCCCGTTTACTTGTAACTGAAGTCAAAAAAATTGTAACTTGACCTAAAACTCTCTCAGTTGACTAAGTCTTACCCTTCTTTTCAATATGTATACATTAAGAAAAAGAAAACTTTTGGGGGATTCTTACCAGCAAATTTCTGAATTTCCTGGGAAATTGGAGAGAGAGTTCTGGGAAATGAGTTCAAGGTTGGTGCTGAAGAGAAGGTATTCAATCCAACCAACATCACCATTTAGGCCAAATCTCTTGTTACCATATCCAAAAGGGTTAGGAGTAGAAGTGTCAGTTTTGTCTTTCTCAGACTGTGGTAACTTGAAGAACTTGATAGTTTCAACTTCTAATTTAGTGACAGACTCCATTAGGATTCCATGGTTGACCACCTTGTAGAAGCCATACTCCTCATAGGCCTTAACGATGAGGTTTCCTGCATGAGGATCTAAGAGGTCTATTTCTGGAATTACAGTGGATAGATTTGAAGTGGTTTCGCTTGTCTTGATAAGAAAGAAATTGTCTAGTACTGGCTGAGACAATACCATCATGGTTTGTGTGTGCGTGTGTGTGTCTGAGAGAGAGAGAGACTTTGAAGATTCTTGGGGTGGGACTGTGGTTGTGTAAGAGAGAGAGAGAGACTTTGAAGATTCTTGGGGTGGGACTGTGGTTGTGTAAGAGAGAGAGAGAGAGAGAGTTTGGAGATTCTTGGGGTGGGAATGTTAAATATCGAGTTCAAATGTGTGGTGGGTGTGTGGTTTTTTTTTTTTTTT